ATACTGGTACACTAATAAACAATCGGTAATTCTTAATTCTCAAAGTACAAATAAATATTTATGCTGTTTAAAATCTAATGGTAGCTTAATAAGAAATTCGACGCTACCCAAGTTGATGGTGAAAATTTAACGGGATAATGGCATCACTAGTCTTTATAGTTTTTCAATTTATTCAATATCATCTCCACACTTCTTTTTGGCCAAGTGGTCCTTGGACTACATGTTTTTGTCCTCAAGGTTTTTTCTTTTTCCTGCCGTAAAAAATGCACACAGAATGCAAACGTGGACCGCTACATTAGCGCCGTATCATCGCTAATTGGACAAACAAGTCATGACATGTATTTTTTACGCGGAATGGACCAAACTATTGGAAAATTAAAAAACAAAACCCTCAAACCCTAAAGAAAAAGAGAAAATGTGGGAAGAAAGAGAGGAAGTTCTAGGGGCGGCGGCAGCAGCGGCGATAGCAAGGCACCGACGGAATCCGCTAACGGCTCGTCGACCTCTGTGACCGAGGCGAAACCCCTGCCACCGATGAGTCCTAACCTGATGTTTCCTTGCTGGCTGCCCGCTTCTTCTTTTTTTTCCTTTTTTTTTTACTTTTTATTTTATTTTTTTCTTAATTAATTATATCAATTTATATTTATTTTATTAACTTTTAAAAGATTTAGGGTATTCTTTTAGGCCAACTAAAAGACACGTAGGACGATCATGTCAGCAAACAAAGACAACTTAACATCATGTCAGCATTTTCGCTAGCTTTTTTTTTTAACAGAAGGATTTATTTATAAAAAAAAAAGATAAAATTCAGGCCCCACATTAATAAAAAAAGTACAAAGACAAAATTGAATAAATTAAAAATCATTGGACCCGCGGTGCCAGCATTCTAGATTCAATCACCGTTGTATTAGATAGGGATGAGCAATATGGATCAACCGAATAGGAAACGGGTGGACTGAGCCGGCCCGTTTGGTTCAATTCCTATGAGTGCTGGTTCGGTTCTCAGTTCTTAAAAGTGGAACCGGGGTTCAGGTGGTCCGGTTCCCTGTTCCAAGGGAAAACTGGACCGAACAGGGAACCGGATCGAATCGGACCACACAACTCTCTATATATAATTTTTTTAATTTCTTAAAAAAATTAAGTAAAGTAAAGTGAAACCGTAAGTGAACTTCAATCGTCCTCCTTTCAAACTTTTCAAAAGTTACATGGTCTTTAGTAGTAACACAAACAAATTAACTCTCTAGCAGCTATTCTCCACTAGAACAATCACTATAAAATTACAAAACTTTCGGACCGATTTCAAAGAGGAAAATGTGCATAAATAGCCGTTGTAAGTAGAAAGAGACTTGATGTGAACACAAATTGCAACAACTATTGTAAGTTATGTACAATAAGTGATTGGTTCCATTTGACCGCACCGAGAACCAATCACCCCCAGCATTAGATAGTCACCTATGTCTTCCCGAATTTACCAATATAAGATGATGATTCACATTCTACCTCTTGAATACTAATGATCAACTTACATAGAGCTTATGTAGACCTGTCAAAATAGGTCTTAAATCCATTTATTAACTCATATTTGTTAAAATTGGTCATATCAAATTTGACGAGCCTAGCTATAATGATTTCTAAAATGAAAAGCCCAAAAATATGAGTTTAAATGGGATATGTCACAAACTCATTTTCAACCCACTTAAAAATGGGACCTAGTGACTCAAGGTGGCCCATTTTGATGTTAGTGGTATTCATCATTTCAAACCTAACCCACCTGTAAGCCTAGTGACTCTCTCCGCTCTCTCTCTCTCCAATCTCATTCTCTTGCTCTCGCTCGATCTTGGAGCGTTTGCGCCACTTTGGGTGCAGAACCTGCTTAAGCTTCTGCCTCATCTTCCGCCCCTAATCTCTCCTGCTTGAGCGCATCCATCCCCTCACGTGTTCGATCTCATGCTCGAGTTCGTCACTCATCCCCTCTTCTTGGCCTGGATCAAGGCCTCTATGGACTCAACAACCCCAACCTCATGATCATGCATCAGAAGATCTACAAGGGGAAGTTATGATGCCCAAAATGGGCGTCCCTAGAGCATCCGGCGGTTCGGTTCCTCTCGACCTCTTGGACGCGAACTCAGAGACCTGGATCACCGTCAACGAAATCGAAAGCAACCTGCGATTTCAAGGAAAAATCTATAGCTTTTTGTAGAGTTCTTTTTATTTTTCGTTTATTTATTTTTGGAGATATATTGGACGTTTTTCTTTGCTTTTTGGGTGGGTTTAGGTTGAATATGAGTTGTGTCAAGTATGAGCCATGGGCTAATGCCAGTTAAATGGGTGGTTTTGGGTTAAACCCATTTATGACCTACTCAAACTCAATCAAACCCACCAATTTGCCAATTGCTTATTTAATAGTGATAATGACTCAAATAATCCCCAAACTTTAGCCAAATATGCAATGCGGTCCCTAAACTTTTCAATTGTTTCATTTTGGTTTATTTATTTTTGGAGATATATTGGACGTTTTTCTTTGCTTTTTGGGTGGGTTTAGGTTGAATATGAGTTGAGTATGAGCCATGGGCTAATGCCAGTTAAATGGGTGGTTTTGGGTTAAACCCATTTATGACCTACTCAAACTCAATCAAACCCACCAATTTGCCAATTGCTTATTTAATAGTGATAATGACTCAAATAATCCCCAAACTTTAGCCAAATATGCATGCGGTCCCTAAACTTTTCAATTGTTCAATTTGGTCCATGACTTTTGTATATTCAGTTTAATGAACTATATGGAAATATCTAATATTGTCTTCCATTAATTCAAGTTTAGGGCTAACATTGAATATTTTCATATAATGAGGGATTAAATTGAGCATCTACCAAAGTCAGGGATCACGTTGAATAATTTAAAAATTCGAAAATGACATTGCGCGTTAGGTTAAAGTTCGGGGTTATATTGAATAAATTAAAGTTTAGAGCATGTATTATTAGTTGGAAAATTCAAGGATCACTTGTGTCGTTTTCTCTAATTTAATGTTATCGGCTGAAGTCTCTCAACTAACCATAATTTATTTGCTAAAAAAAAGTAATTGGAGGTTGGACTATCCTTTTTCCCCCTAGAAATGGACAAACATATCACGTCTAGACTTTTCCACATTGCCAGTACCAGAAAAACGCAGCATAGGACGGCTTCTGTCTGTCCGCTCTCCGTGGCGCCCTAGAAAAGGTGAAAAATTCAGCAAGCAGCGTTTTTTAATTTTCTGTTCTATTTTATTTCATGTAATATAAATATAATAGGAAAAGTGGGACTGCTCCACCAACGTGAATAGAATAAACTAGCAAAAAAGTACGCACGTCTTTATGCAAAGAAAAAGGGGAAAAAAATCTGTAAAACTTTCTAATGGAGAAAGATGATTATCATGGATTTCAGGAGAGGTTTCAAATAAACACTTTTGAGTGGTTTTGTGAATGATTGTCTTCTCATAAATAGATCGGTAAGATACGATATGTCGCTCCCCCTAAATAATGAATGTGAGTTTTTCGTAGAATTTGATAAGTATATGGGCACATTTACTAGGGGTTTTTGCATCATTGTGATAGTTGGAAACTCAATGATTATAATTAGTGAGTAAAGTCATATAAAGGATGAGTGATGGCCAACAATTCGGCTCCGAATCAAAAGTGAATGGATTCCAATGTTTTTTGCAAGCCTTTGTGAAATTGAAATTAATAAATAAGGCACCAACAAATGTTTGAAAATGGCAAGGAAATTGGACAAAACTTTATTGATTAGAACAGATGGTTTACATACTCGGAGGCCATGCTTGTTCGGTGTTTGAACCTGAACATAGACAGCTGATGGAGATAACTGAAGTGCATGGAGAAAGTTAAAAAGTTTACAAATTCTGACGGGGAAAAAACTTTTATAACGAAAGATGAAAACTGGAATTAAGAGGTCTAATCTCAATCGATTCGTTATGCATGATCTCGTCATCTCCATTTAGTGTCAAAGTCTCATGTGTTGTTGTCATCTTTTGTGATGTCTTGATTGCTAGTCCCTCTCTTTGATTTTTCTTTATCTTTAAATGGGCCTTTCCGTCATAAGTTACGATATTTCTATACAAGAATTTATAACCGTCTTGACAGGCGCGCCAATCTAGAGATGATTTAGTTGGTCCCGATTTCTTGACTCTAGTCATCCCTTGGTTAACAAATTCTCCTTGACTCAGTCTTCAACTTTCGTACATGCTTCGAGTTGATTGATCGTCTCTAGGTGTGTCCTGTACTTCATCACCTAAACTCTACCCACGAAAAACTTTGGATCGATGAACTCACCAAACATTTTATCAATGGGTCTCGTGCATCGATTTATTATCATGTCTTTAATGATCAATGAGTATTGTCAGGCGCATTCCATCGCTTGGATATTATGGATTTGGCATATCATCATGACTTGACTTGAGCCATTAACTTCTTTACGTTTTGGCCCAAACTCTAGGCTTGGTGCCAATAGCACGGCAAGTGGGGCCTCAGATCGCATTCCCTGTCCTAGTCCTGTGGTGTAAATGCTTTACCGCACCATTGTCCCATTCATGGGGCGAGGCATGTCGGCACCGAGCCTTGCAAGACTAAAGATTTATTATTGAACATACATAATTGTTCAATAATAATAATGCTACCTTAAATTTATTCATATTCTGTACATTATCGAAAGTTTCTTAATCTCATGAGCTTGACCTTGCTTATTCATTTTAACTTGTCTGTATCTTTCTTATTATTCACTTACTAAAGTATATTGTCTACCATTTTGACTTTTCTTTCCACGAGCTGCATCCTCCTTGATAGATTTTGGACTCTTTTCAATCTTATATTTCGCGAACTTGTAGGTTTGTCCGAATCCCGTCCGGTTTCCCTCCCAAAATTCCCGAACAGCCAATCATCTTGCTCCCTGACCCACATGGCACTGCGCAGCTGACTGCCACTCCATCCACAAAAACAAAAAGCTAACTTTTTCGAGTGTGCACACTCCTCTCTCTCTCTCCCACTTCAGTTACTTTCCAATTCACCAGCCACCAAAACTCATCATTGCCCACCGATTCCGTCACCTCCGGTGGCGGTGGCGGTGGTGGTGGAGCAACCCCACCACCCATTTTCGATCCTCCCACAGACCCAGTGTGAGAAAAGGCAATCTTGTCGCGCAATTCCGCGTTCTTGACGACGTTCTTGATCTCCTGAAAGTCCCTGACCTCTCTCGGCCATGGACGCAGCCGCTAAGCCCCACAAGAAAAGGAAGTGGTTCTTGCTTCTCGCCACGGCGCTGGCGCTCTCCACTCTGCTCGTCTTCTTCACCGTCTTCACCCCCTCTGCTGCTGCTTCTCATTCTTATTCTTCCCAGTTCTTACGCCGTGCCCATGTGGAGACAGAGCTTCCGGTGTTCGTCGAGACCAAGCTGCAGGTGTCCGCGACCCTGGATGACCCGGTTCCGAGATTGGCGTATCTCATCTCCGGTTCGATGGGCGATGGGGAGAGCTTGAAGAGGACGCTGAGGGCTCTGTACCACCCGAGGAACCAGTACGTGGTTCACCTGGACTTGGAGGCTTCGGCGGAGGAGAGGCTGGACATGGCCGAGTTCGTGAGGAGCGAGCCGTTGTTTGCGAAATTGGGTAACGTGAGGATGAGCGTGAGGGCGAATCTGGTGACGTACCGAGGGCCGACGATGGTGAGCAACACGCTTCATGCTGCGGCAATTCTGTTGAGGGAAGCAGGGGAGTGGGATTGGTTCATTAATTTGAGCGCTTCGGATTATCCCTTGGTGACCCAAGATGGTATATAAAGACTTGCTCGATCTTCTTGATGTCGTTCCATGATACGAATGCATCTGTTTCTGCACCTGCCCTGTTTTTTCGGGTTTCCCCTTCGTGTTTAACCGATACATCAAAGTCGTTGCTCTGTTCTGTTGGGTTTGGCTAAGCATTTTCTTAGTGGACCTTGAAGCCAAGCTAATAGTTTCAGAAAACTAGCCTTTGTCTAGAGTCTAAGACATATTTACTAAACACATAGTAACATGATCATGTAAATTGTCTGCCGGTGATCGGTCCAATGTTTTCTTTTTCCGGGCTTTGACTATGTTCGTGGTGATCTCAAGTTGATACGTTTGGAAACAACTGACGACTTGGCGTCACCATTCTGAATTACCTCTAAAGGGGGATTGTGTTTTTTACTTCATTAATATATCTTGAAGTAGGTAGAAACCGTTCTTTCTTCTTCTGTTCCATCACTTTTGGGGCTTTGCTGTTTTCTCTTTCCTTTCTTAGGCAAATTGAGGAGAGCGAGTCTATGCATTTATCTGCTTTAATAATCAGGAGTAGAATACTATTTAATTACTCCTTTAGCAGAAACCAACATACTTGCTTACTTTTACTAGTGAAGCTGCTGACTCACCACCCTGCACCTAGGCTTCTGGTCTCGAAGAGTCCCAAATTGTTTATTCACTTGATGCCTTCTGCTGTGGGTTATCAAAGCATCCTTAGTAGTGAAATGGGTTTTCCTGTCACGAAAATTCGATGTAAATGAGCACGGAATCGATATTTGGAGTGTATGCCTAATGGTCACTTACTGAAGGCACTAATCATGTTTGTCTTTTCATTGCTGCAGATTTGCTTAGCACTCTGTTGACTATACCCAGAAACTATAACTTCATTGAGCATACCAGCGATATTGGTTGGAAAGAGTTCGTGTCTCATCCATTTGTTCTTATCCATTGTGTATGTTGCAGATATCTAGTGAGAGTTTCTAAGTGCTTGTTGACTGCTGGATATCTACAGGTACCAGAGAGCCAGGCCTGTTATGATTGATCCAGGGCTGTACAGAGTGCAAAAATCAGATGTCTTCTGGGTATCAGAGAAGAGAGATGTGCCTTCTGCATACAGGCTGTTTACAGGTGAAGAATCCACTAAGCAGAAATCTCTTTTCATATGTTTAATTTATTTGTTAAATGGTGTCTTGGTGTTGCTTTTAAAATCGAAATGAAAATTTCTCAAAGCACACAAGCACATATTATCTTTAGCATGAAGACACATATTACTCTCTCCACTTGCACTATTCCTTGTTCTGTTCCAGCAATAAGTAAAACTCGTGAGTTAAATTAAGAAATAAAAAATTGCATTAGTAAAAAATTGGTAGCCTCTAAACTCGAAGTGGGAAATTGTCTCTGGAATTTAGATGCAATATCATCTGTCATGAGAAAATAAAAAGCAGTTAGTTCTATATTGCTCAAACCAAGTTAATTTCAGGTCTATATGATGCATGATGCCTGCAGTTCTTTCCTACTAAGTGAGCTTTCTGATAAGATCTAAAGATCAAGTCAGAGTTTTTTGTTCTTGCTTCTTTTTATATTTCTTTCTTACCTTTCCAGGAGTAGGAATATGCAGATTAAGCAAATGACATGCATATGCATATAAAAATTGTGTACCAGTGTGTGTTTGTGTTATGTACATGTACTAAGACAGAGATGCCGATTAGGCTGAGAAATTTCTTCTCTGTGCGATACATATAGATCGTCTATTGGATCTATAAGTTAAGGTCATTACATTCCACAAGCAAAATTTCAACATTTTCAGCATGAAATTACTGCAGATGACTTCTAAAGTGTGCCCATGAATCCCATCAGGTTCTGCTTGGATGATGCTCTCTCGGCCCTTTGTTGAGTATTGCTTATGGGGGTGGGACAACCTCCCAAGGATTGTGCTCATGTACTACTCCAACTTCCTTTCTTCACCAGAAAGTTATTTCCACACGGTTATTTGCAATGCTAATGAATTCATCAATACGACTGTGAACCATGACCTCCACTTCATATCCTGGGACAACCCTCCAAAGCAACACCCACATTTCCTCACACTCAGTGATTTCCAGATGATGGTAGATAGCAATGCCCCCTTCGCGAGAAAATTCGGCAGAAACGATCCGGTTCTCGACAAGATTGACTCTGAGCTGCTCGGTCGAAGCGTGAATGGATTTTCACAAGGAGGGTGGTTTAACAGTGAGGAAAGCATTAACAGAACATATGCCGATTACGTCACACCCAACATTACAGAGCTGAGGCCTGGTCCTGGGGTTGAAAGGCTCAGGAAGCTCATTGCTGGTTTGTTATCGGGGGATAACTTTCATGCAAATCACTGCACATAGCAAGAAAACTTCCGAGCCAAGGGACTTGTTTTGGGCACCTGTGCACTGGTTCTTCCCCTTGTGATTGCTACGCCATATGTTGCTCTTAATTCAACTGGTAATGAAGGATCACTATAGGACAAGTTACAAATTCTTCTGGGATTCGTGAAGCAAGATTTCAAATATACTAGCCAAAAAATCCGTTTACATGTCTTTCTGATCCGGAATCTCACTGAGCTGTTCATATCACAAAGGGACAAGTAATGTAAGTACCGGAGCTGGAAAAGTTGAAGACGGTGAAGTTCTTATCTTCAACTGCTGCTTTAAATTAGTCGCGGGAGGGCAAGTTTGAGCCTAAAATATTGTTTAGCACATTGAGTTGTTTACTATACTTTTGCACTTCGTATACTCAACAGAAGCATTATAAACATCTGTAAGGGTGTGTACTAAAGGTATATATGACTTTCTTTCTGCCGCTACATGACAGCGTTTCTAACATCGTCTTTTTCACCCTACTGCACTTCATCAGACGAGACTAAGATTGGAAGACATGAAGGAAAGATGGGTAATTGCAAAAGCAGTCCCCCCCACAGTTTTATGGTTTAACAAACATGGAATAACCTAATCAGAATCCATTCCTTTTCGTTTGTATTCCTTTGAATGGATCATGATAAAGTTCGTGAAATGTCCAATGTAAGTAGAGTACTAAATCCACTTGTTAATGAAGTAATCCATGATTTAGCAGGTCAAGTATTTTTTTCCCATGTAGTCGATGGTGTGGAAGGTGAACGTGAGGGGATTTCAGATTGTCTCGAAGAAAACCGGCTGGTGCATCAATGTAAACTGCACATACTGAAGTTGGAGCAAGAATGAAGAAAGAGATTCGAACACGAATTTCATGCGCCTGAACGCCGCTCGTTCTCGACTTAGTCAAATACTACCAGCAGCAAATTACTTCTGTAACTTAAAATTAACTTCACAAGTCACATATGTACAGAGCAAAGTTCTAGTTTAGAAACAAACTTTTCAAGTGGATCACTTGCAGAGGTAAATTGAAGGAGAGGATAAGACTTCTCCCTCGAAAAACAGGTTGAGGTTCAATTCCTGCAAACACTGACGGCGTTTGGTTAAGTTTTTCCAAGAGGTTTTCAAGGGCCTCCAAAGTCCCTTTGGAAAAAAAAGATAAGTGCGTTCAAAGTTCTAAAACTTGTCATGAAAATGCAATTGAGTCCTAAAACTTTCAAAAAGTGCAAACAAGTCCTAAAACTTGTCAAATTGTTTCAATCAAGTCCTTCCATTGATTGTACTTTTTGAAAATTTTTCCATTGATTGTACTTTTTGAAAATTTTAGGACTTGTTTGCACTTTTGTGACAAGTTTTAGGACTTGTTTGCACTTTCGTGATAAGTTTTAGGACTTATTTGCACTTTTTGAAAGTTTTAGGATTCAAGTGCATTTTCGTGACAAGTTTTAGGACTTATTTGCACTTTTTGAAAGTTTGAGGACTCAATTGCACTTTTATGATAAGTTTTAGGACTTCTAGTGCACATATCCCAAAAAAAAAATAAGGCCTTTAGTTCAATTTTTGGGACTTCTTTAGCCAAATGCTGGCCATAGTAAAGCTGAAAGCCCAATGCAAGTTATGGCTTTCAAAATTTGCATAAGGTCATTCTTTTCATTTTTCGGTTTTGCCATTATTGTTACTGTTCATCTTCTCTGCGCAAGGACCGCCAACGAAGCCATATCTGGTCGGCATGGGGTTGATAAGAGGCTGGCAAGGGGCTGATGAGATCACGCGACCTTATACTACTTGCAGCCTCTTGTGGAGATTGCGCAACCCCAGAAAGGGCAGCCTGGGTCGCACGAGCTCAGGCGGTCCTCCCTTGGGTCATGCAACCCTCATCAGGGGCCACTCGAGGTTGGGCGAATTGGTGCAAATTGGTGCTAACATCACTCAAAATTTAAACCAAAAAGAAAAGGAGAGGGGATTATCAGGAGCCAGGACGGCCCTAAACCCTCGTTCGTTAGTCACCACCCATGGGGTGAGGGTTTGGAGGGCGGCGACAATGACTTGACGATGACCCCCTTCTCTACCACCACCAAGAAAAGAACTCGCGGCCATCGTCACCGTGCCGCCGTTGCCACTTGGCCAGCCCAGTAGGCTCTCACCACCAATAGGCGACGGCTTGCCCTTGACCCAAACCTTTGAGGCGAGGGGGCGATCATCCCTTGTTCGAGGCAACGTCACTCCTTCCTCTCTCTTCTTGCTCTTCATCATTTCAATAAATTATCGGCTTGAAGCATCCTATCAATCTTACGTGGTAAAACTCCCATCACCCTTAGTATCGTTACGCCTAGCACCTCTATTAGAGTAAACTCCGACTAAGTTCCTAATGATAATTGATCGAAGGATTTAATTGACACAAATAAAATAATTTCGATAACTTGATTAAGAGAAAAAAAACAAAAAAGTAGCATAAAAATCACCTTTAAGTTCCATTAGGGCTTTTGAGGGGTTTATCACACACACACTCTCTCTCTCTCCTTCTTCTTCCCCCATTCCTTTTTTCCCGCCTTTCGAGCCCTAAATCTCCCCTTCCCATGGCCGTATGAATTCGCCGCACTGAGAATCACCCACCGCCTGCAAATCCTCCTCATCCTCCCGGAATCGGCACCGGCGATCCTCGCCGGCGATGGCGTCTGCGAAGCAGCTCCTCTCCATCATCGAGTCGGCCCTGCTCGGCCCGTCCCCGCCGGCGCCGGCGCAGAGGGTGGAGCTCATGCACGCCCTCCGGAAGTCTCGCCCCTCCCTCCAGTCGCTGCTCTCTTATCCCGTAATTTGCCCGTTTCCCTTCGCGTGGGATCGCCCCGCTTGCACGCCCGTTTATTCCTCCGTACGCTCGCGCTTTCGTGTCTGGCTGGCTGACGAGGAATCGTGGGTGAATTCGATGTTTGGTTGATCTTTCGAGGGAAAAGAAGCATTTTGATTGCGTGCACGAGTTTCTGATGCTGCATTGGAATTGGGTTTTGTATTCCGTGTGTCGTCTGATAGAACTGACTTGTTCTTTGACTTTTGTTTTTGAAATCTTGGCTTTCGCAGCCTCCGAAGCCGTCAGATCGAGCGCAGGTTCAGGCGAAAGAAGTGCGGCTGCCGGATTCCTCACCGATCTCATTGGACGATCAGGATGTTCAGATTGTAAGCTGCTATGGGCTGTGGCTGTAGTGAACTTTTTCGTCCAGTGTGTTATTTTTTTTCTTCATTTTGAATATTGTCACTTCAACTTCAGTTGGCTTCGAAATGGAGAATAGGAGAAACTAATTGAGTAATTGAAATGACTTACTGAGGCTGGACTAATTTGTGCGGGTCTTCTTATGAATGTGCCGAATTTACTCCTCTCTCCTATATGCTATTGTGGATACTCTCTCCTCGTGAGGTTCTCATTTTGCTCGCAACGGGACCAATCTATTTTGTACTTATGTTCTCCGCTTCATCTTTTGGGCTGTAACTGATTTTGTGTTTTATTTTTTCTTAACCTGGTTTGATATATGATTGATAGGTGGGTTAACGCCTATCTCATTTTAAGGAAGTCTTTCCCGCACATGCATTGTTTGTTAAGTGAAAAATGGCTTCTTTTATATTACAGTCTTCAGAATTGCATTACTCTTTTTGGGTCTATTGAATTCTCTGAGTGATGAAGAAGTTTGAGTTTTTGGTGCATCATTTGATTGTCCTATCATCGATCCACTTTATATTATGTTATCCATAGTTGATGATCTTTCATACATACAGAGATAGATCTACTTTCTTATAGATGACATGATCCTGCAATTTCCTTTTCTGTTATTGCGTGAATGCAATTTGATTTTTGTTTTGTGATGATAATTAGGCTCTGAAATTGAGTGATGATCTCCACCTAAATGAAGTGGAGTGTGTTCGTTTGCTTATTTCGGCCAATCAGGAGGTAGTGTTTGTACACATCTTTATACTTCAGTCTCTTTTTGACTAATTTTATATGCAATCTGAATTTGTGGTTATATTCTTACCATTATAGTTTTATTGTTCTACTTGGGTACTTTGTTGGCCATGATATCTATGTGATATTCCAATTGCTTGCTCTGGAAACTTTGGGTGTCACTCCCAGTGGGGTCTAATGGGAAGAGAGCCCCTAGAAATTTTGCGTCTTGCAGCTGGACTCTGGTATACTGAGAGAAGAGATCGGATAACAGCCTTATATACACTCTTAAGGGTACCTTCTCATTCCTATATAGAATTTTCGTTTGTCATAACTTGAAACACTTATCCCTTAGATTGCCTTTTCAGGCTATTGTGCTAGATCAAGGATTTGAAGCCGATATTCTTGCTGACATTCAGAAGTACCTGGAAGAACTTATAACCGGTCTAAGACAACGGTTCATCTCTTTAATTAAGGTTAGTACCTCAGAGTCTTCAAGTTTTCATTTCTTTGTGTGATTTGAATTGGATTTGCCATTTCTTTTCTGTGAAGGGTTTATATGCCATCTCCACTGTCACCGAATGTTTTCATTTGTTAATCCATCCCAAATGTGTTTCTCCTCAAAACTTCCTGTCTGTTCATGCTGATTGACTCTGGTAAAGATTGCATTTAAGGTGTCAATTTGTTGTTGCTTATTGTGTGTTGTGATACAGATTCAACTCTCACTAATTCTTGAGATTGTGGGTTTCCTCTTATTTGGAGATCAAAGGGAACGCAGATGTTGTATTGCATCTAGGGGTCCGTGACTCTGGAATAGTGGACAGTTGCTATATTTCTGCTCGATGAGATGCAGTAGATTCAAATTGTTTTCTTGTTGTGTTTTTTTGAGCTATATTAAGATAAAAGATTTAAGGGATTTCTTACTGATGAAAATTTTTGTAGATATTAATGCATTTTCCTTATGTTCGTGAAGCATCTTCTAAACGCCTGATTGTCTTACCCTTTCGTGTGGTGATGCCATGCGTCAACAAATAAAATGAGCAATCCTTTCTTACTTTACTTCAATGACTTGTTTTTGCTTTCTTTCTCCTTTTCCTTTCATTAGTTGAACTATTTGTGCACGTCTTCTTTTTTTAAGCGAGGAATGCACATAAGTTAGTCTTGGTGTGGAATTCACATAAGTTATTAAACTATTATGATAATTATTGTTTAAGCATTGCAATATTCAGCTTTAAGTTTGTGAAGAATAAGTATATTTAGATGTCTTTCTCCTTGATTGACTCTAAAGGGAAAAGATAAGAACATGTAAAGAAAGGAGGCTCAATTGATGACCTTCCGGATTTTTTTACAGAGAGACAATGAGAGACTTTTTCTTGGGCCAAACCACCAGAAGATTGGTTATGCTTGGCGTAATTATATTAGAAGGAGCTGAACCCAAACCCTCTGCCTCTAATGCTTATTGTTTGTCATTCGTCATTAAGGGTTTTAATAGTCAGAGGGAATAGACTAAAAAATGTGATGCTGCAATGTTCATTAATGAACAA